AATCTGTGGGGCCCAGCACTGGGAATACGACTGTAATGGAGAAGGAGGAAGGGTTGCAACAAGTAGCACATGGATCTTGGCAGACTGAGTTCATACCTGCTGTGCCCAAGGAGTAATTACAACCAGCAGATTTGCTCATCTGCAGAACCAAGTCAGGGACACACACTGACTAGGGAGCCTTGTGAAGTACAGATTTGCCTGATTTGGATACTCATATGAGGAACTTTGCTGGCCCTAGAACTGCATTTGCTCATGCCCAAGAAAGGAGATGAGCCAAAGCTCCACTCACTTTGGAGAGTGACTCCCAGCCCCATTTGGCCAGAAGGCTTGGTGAAAACACCTGAAAGCTGTGTGGCCCAGGGGCACTTAGGCAGAGAAAGAGAGTCGAAGCTGGAAATTTGGAGAGCAAAGCCAATGGCACTATTTAGCCAGAAAACATGGGGTACAGGTTGGCTTGATCTGGGACAACAAACAAAGAGCTTTACCAATTTTAGAGCTTTCTCTTCTGCCCTCTGGGCAAGAAATCTAATTCATAGCCCTGCTCATTGCTGATTACAGCTTTCAACCTGTCTGATCAGGAAGCTTAACCAGAGCACAGAGGAAGCTGCACAGCCCATTTAACAGCCTTACACATACAGTGGCACATGAATAATGAGTACAGCCCATGACTTCCTCATCTGCACAGCAAAGATGGCCTTCTCACCTGCCCAGGAAATTCACTGCACATTCAGGCCTGATTTGGGCCTCCAAACAATGAAGTACACAGGCTCCGGGCGCTGGCCTGGTGCTCTGCCAGGGTAGGGAAGCTGAATCATAGCCCTATCTACTATTGAATATACACAACCATCTAATAAGCCTGACTAGAGAATTTAGGTATCCTCTGAACCCATCCTGCAACCTTACTTGGGTAGAGAGCTAAGCCTGCAATCCTACCCAGCTGTTCTCAGCCAGTGGCACACAAAGCCTCATCCTCATTTTCAGAGCTCAAACACTTGCTTTATTCCAAACTATACTGTAACAGCAGGCCCCATCTGCCCAGAGACATTACAAGCAGAGACTCAAACTGAGCTGGTGAAGAGAACTGTCTCTGCCAAAGCAAACCTGCAAGGTCTGGAAGGGGAACCCCATACCTCAGATGAAGAGATACCAATGTAAGGAATCAAAGATCACAACAAATCATGTATATACAATACCACCAACGGAAATCAATAAAGATCCAATAACTGACCCTAAAGAAACGGAGATTTATGAACTGTCAGACAAAGAATTCAGGGTAATTCTCTTAAAGATGTTTTATGAACTACAGGAAAACAACTAAACAAAAAAAGAAAAACTATGCGCGTACAAAGTAAGAAAATTGGTTTTATTTTTTTAAATTTTTTAAAATGTTTTATTTATTTCTGAGAGAGAGAGAGAGAGAGAGAGACAGCGTGTGCAGGGGAGGGTCAGAGAGAGAGGGAGACACAGAATCTGAAGCAGGCTCTAGGCTCTGAGCTGTCAGCACAGAGCCGGACGCGGGGCTCAAACTCACAAACCATGAGATCATGACCTGAGCAGAAGTCGGACGCTTAACCAACTGAGCCACCCAGGCACCCCAGAAAATTGATTTTAAAAAATAGCAACTACTAAACAAACAACACATAAAACACACAGAAATCCTTGAGTTGAAAAACATAATAACTGAATTGAAAAATTTAATAGTTTCAAAAATAGACTTGACCATACAAAAGAAAGAATCAGTGACCTGGAGGATAAGACATTTGAAATTACTCAGTCAGAGGAGCAAAAAGGAAAAAAAAAAAAAGAACGAAAAAGAGTAAAGAAAGTCTATGGCAATTATAGGACACAATGAGAAACAATATTCACATTATGGAAATTCTAGAAGAAGAAGAGAAAGAGAAAGGGACAGAAAGTATATTTGAAGGAATAATGATGGGGGCGCCTTGGTGGCTCAGTCGGTTAAGCTTCCGACTTCGGCTCAGGTCATGGTCTCACCATCCGTGGGTTCGAGCTCCTCATTGGGCTCTGTGCTGACAGCTAGTGTTATACCCAGATCGCAGTATCCTCACCAACCAGAGACCACCAGGGAGACCGAGTCACGCATGCAAAGGCAAAGGGCTTTATTACGGGCTCGAGCTCGGGCTCACAGACTTCACCAGTGCCGTGGATCCATGCTGAGAGCCCAGAACAAAGACAGAGTGGGGTTTTTATAAGGTTTGTGACAGGGGAGTTACAGAAGTTGTGACGTGAGAACAGTGATCCAATCGTAATTATACAGCATTGTTGACAGCGGGTTTAACCATACATGTTATCCAGAGTATCTGTTACTTTTGGCGGGATCCAATTACAACATTTAGAGTAGTCTTAAATTCAACCAACCATAGACTAATGGTTAACTTTTACCTTAGGCTGCTAAGATTTATCTATAGTTGCTGGCCTTTCTTGATTGGGCGTTGCCAAGGTAGTGCGGTGGAGTGAAGTGGTGGGCAGTTTCTTTGGCCTTGGGCAGTGTGTAGCTGCCTGATAGTTCCAGGGGGACTAAAACTTAGGCCTTCTAGTTTAGAGGAGAAACTTAAGGCCTGTCATGGAGTTTGTATGGTTTTAGACTTGTGTCCTTACATTTCCCCCTCTGTCTTGTAGCTGACCCAATCTTGGGTCAGTTTTGGGTCAGTTGTATCTCCATTAATTTGGTTTAAAGGGTTATATTGAGTTCGTAAGACCATTAGTTGAAGGGTACCTAGTCTTTGTTTTATATATTGAATTATCTTATTAAGAATACAGGGACCAAACGTTAAGATTAGTAATAAGATTAATAGGGGGCCCAGTATGGTAGAAATTAGGGTAGTGAGCCAAGGGGAGCTGTTAAACCATTTTTCGAACCAGCTTTGGTTTAGTTCATATTCACGTTTTCTTTTTGCCAGGCCTTCTCTCACCTTGGCTAGAGATTCTTTGACTATTCCCGCATGATCAACATAGAAACAGCATTCTTCTCTAAGGACCGCATATAATCCACCTTGCTGGAGGAATAAGAGGTCTAAGCCCCTCCTATTTTGCAGTACTACTTCTTCTAATGAAGTCAGAGACTCTTGTAAATGGGCAATAGAGGTCTCTAGGTTTTGGAGGTCAATGTCTATGGCCATTCTTAAGTCTTGATAACTTTTACTTTGAGTCGCCAAGGCTGAAATACCAGTCGCTGCTCCTGTTACTCCCAGGCCCAGAAGGACGGTTAGGGTTAGGGCAGTAACAGTTTTCCTTTTTGACTCGTGTTAGACCGTTTAATTCAGTTAGGGACTTCATAATTTCTTCATTAGCATGGTAGAGTACCTGGGGCACTAATTGGACTAAAACACAGAAGTCTTTGGCGTGGTTCAAGACTGTACTATGTATACAGGGGGAGAGCCCCGTGGAACAGGCCCACCATCCTTGGTCTGGTGGGATTATGTATTCACTGTTTATATTTTGTTCGGTCTGATTGCAAAGGTGTGAATGTGAGGCTGGAACCTGTCCTATACATAGACCTTGCCCTATTATAGATCGTAGGGTAGTCTTACGGTGGCTGTCTGTTGCCATCGACATTTAGAGGGTGTGTTAGAAGTATGATATTGCCCTAGGATGGCTATTCCTTCATAGTAGGGGGGTTTGGGGTTATAGCAAAGCCAGCAAGATTTAGTCAAATCTGGCCTAGTAGAATTGAGGACTTTGAAGGTATGGACCATTAGGTCCCATAAGGGTTCTGATCCTGCTTTGTTGGGGACAGGTGAAATAGGAGAGTTCCCTGAAGTGGGGATTTTATTGCTAAGATTTTCCTCAGGGGTTTTGGTGGGATTAGGGGTTCTGATGAGTTTTGGCCTTAGACTCGGTTGAGGCACTGTTAGCTGTGGGCTGAGACTTTCAGGCTCAGGTTTGGGGGCTAGGACTAGGTTTGGACCCATTGCAGCAGTAGGGAATATTAATTGTTTTTGGATAAAGGACAAAAATCCTGGGTCATAGCTGCTCAGCCATAAATGAAGCCCCCATGTTTTCCCCCTTGACCAGGTAGCTGTTTTTCCCTTAGGAGTTAGTTGTATGGAGATTGGGTTTCTCCTTGCTGGACTAGTTAGGTTGTTAGTTCTTACAAAGGTGATTAGGTCATTATTGGGTCGTTTGACCCATGGAGCAATAGTTTCACAACCCCAAGAGGCGCAATAGTAATTGTCTGGGCCTCCACAGGTGTCAGCGTTACCAGTACTGGGGCACACGTAAAAGGTCCGTAGTCTCAGATTTTTGTGTTGACAGTCGGGATTGGGGTCTTTCTCCCGGCAATCGGGGCCAGTGCTACACCAAGGACACTACAGTCTATACAAGTACGTTTGTTTACCCCGCCATGCCAGTGATCTCCTGCCAGACTACAGAGATCTAAGTGGAAGGTGGGGAATGTAATAGACACTGGTCCAGTTAATGTGAGTTCTTGTACTACTCGTCCTAAGTCTTTAGGTGTCTCTTTTGGTCCTCGAAGGACCCATTTGGCAGTGACAGGTTGGTAGGGGTTGGAAGGATAAGGGTTAGGTTCTGAGTTACATACAGTTAGCAGAGTAATTAAAATCAGGAATAATGTCATGAGGGTTTGAAGGAACCGCATCCGCGGCTTCAGCGACGAGAGAGTCGTAGCTTGAGAGGATTTTTCTTGTCGGAGTGTAGTCTCCATTGTTGAGCCCCTGGGTTGAGGTAGTCTTCTGGGACTTGGAAGTGGTTGGCAGGTCTCACGTGGGTGTAGTGAATCCAGGTGGCTATTCCATCTACTTTTAAGGTGGTTGGAGTGGTCAGCAGGATGATGTAAGGTCCTTTCCATCGTGGCTCAAGGGTTTCTTGTCGGTGGCATTTGACATAAACCCAGTTGCCAGGCCGGTACTGATGAGGCTCTGGAGGGAGACCTGATTCATAAAGAGCACGTAGTTTAGTCAATACATGTTCGTGAGACCGTTGGATGGCCTGGATTTCTTGTAACAGATCGCTATCCTCAATATCCATTAGGGCTGCTGCCTGGAGGTTTGGAATAATAGGGGCAGGTTTTCCATACATAATTTCAAAGGGAGTTAAACCCATCTGGTAGGGAGAATTTCGTACCTGAAACAGGGCAAAGGGAAGGAGGGCCACCCAGTCTCCGCCAGTCTCCAAGGTCAATTTAGTTAAGGTCTCTTTTAGAGTTCTAGTCATTCTTTCTACTTGTCCTGAACTTTGGGGTCTGTACACACAATGTAATTTCCAATCTGCCCCAATAAACTGCGCAACAGCCTGACTTACCTTGGACACAAAAGCTGGTCCATTATCTGACCCTATGAGTTGGGGAAAACCATACCTAGGCAGAATTTCTTCTAACAGTTTCTTCTCCACAAGAGTAGCAGTTTCATTTTTGGTAGGAAAGGCTTCTGTCCATTCTGAGAAGGTATCTATAAAGACTAATAAATATTTATATACATATTTGCCTGGTTTTATTTCAGTGAAATCAATTTCCCAGTGGGCCCCCGGCTTCTTACCTTGTAAGCATTGCCCTGGACTCTTAGGGCTTGGAAAAGCATTGGTGAGTTGGCACGTTTTGCATGAACGAACAATCTTATCAATTTTGGTGTGTAAGTCTTTGGTGGTTACCTTAGAGTGTCGAAATGCATCCAACATTCTTTTTGTCCCCATGTGGGTGGTTCGGTGTATTTTATATAACATTTTTTCTGCTAAGATTGCAGGGAGGATCAGTTTCCCGTCTGGGCCCTTCCACCATCCCTCGAAAAATTGACATGGGCAGTCTTTCGGCCCATCTGGTTTCTTCCTCAGTATATTCAGGATTTTCAGGTAATTTAGGATCTCCAGGGTCTGGGAGGACTATAGGCAATATATCAAAGGACTTCAGGGCTGCTTCTTTAGCTGCTTTATCAGCTAGGTTATTTCCCTTGACAACGGGATGGTCGCCTTTCTGGTGTCCTGGGCAGTGGATAATGGCCACCTTTTTTTGGTATCCACAAGGCTTGTAACAAGTCCATGATTTCTTGTTTGTTCTTAATAGTTTTTCCCTCTGAGGTCAGGAGACCTCTTTCCTCATAAATAGCCCCGTGTACATGAGCCATTGCAAAGGCGTACCTGCTGTCCGTATAAATGTTGACTTTTAAGTCCTTTCCCAGGATTAGTGCCTTAGTTAAGGCAATTAACTCAGCCCGTTGGGCTGAGGTCCCTGGAGGTAAGGGTTGGGCCCAAATTACCTTGTCCTTGGTGGTCACAGCTGCTCCTGCCTTTTTGTTTCCGTCCTGGATGAAGCTGCTCCCATCCGTAAACCAGGTGTGGTCTGCATTTTGAAGGGGCACATCTGTCAGGTCCTCCCGGAAGCTGTGCACTTGGGCTAGGATCTCGGTACAATCATGGAGTGGAGGGTCGGCATCGAGATCAGGCAGTAGTGTAGTCGGGTTAAGTGAAGAGGGAGGCTGGAAAAGAATTCTATCTGGGTTGAGCAGCAGTGCTTGGTAATGAGTAATCCGGGCATTGCTGAGCCATCGGTCAGGTGGTTGTTTCAGTATCCCCTCAATTGCATGAGGGGTGGTTATTGTTAGAGTTTGTCCCAAAGTCAATTTGTCGGTGTCTTTAACTAAGGATGCCACTGCAGCTACAGTTCTCAGACAAGGGGGCCATCCTGCTGCCACTATGTCTAATCGTTTGGACAGGAAGGCCACTGGCCTCTTCCAAGGGCCTAGCATCTGGGTCAGCACACCTTTGGCCACTCCTTTATTTTCATCCACAAACAGGTGGAAAGGTTTAGTAATGTCAGGTAGCCCCAACGCTGGTGCTGATAGGAGAGCTGTTTTAAGAGTTTCAAATGCCCGTTGGTGTTCAGGGGTCCATTGAAACTCATTTCTGTCTTTAGTTAATTCATATAAGGGCTTAGCGATTTCTGCAAAGCCTGGAATCCATAATCTACAAAACCCAGCTGACCCCAGGAATTCACGCATCTGCCTGGGGTTTTTGGGTGGGGGTATGTGGAGGATGATGTCCTTTCTGGATGGTGACAACCATCTTTGTCCATCCTTAAGAATGTACCCCAGATAAGTAACTCGGGGCTTGCAGATTTGAGCTTTCTTAGCAGAGGCTCTGTACCCCAGTTTGCCCAGTACTTGCAGTAAGTTTTCAGTTCCCTGGAGGCAGCTTTCCCCAGAGGTGGCTGCGATCAAGAGATCATCAACATATTGTAACAATGTGATATCGGGGTTCTCCCTCTGGTACTCACCCAGATCCTCGTGCAGTGCTTCATCAAAGATGGTAGGGGAATTTTTAAACCCCTGGGGGAGTCGAGTCCAAGTCAGTTGCCCGTTAATGCCGATGTCAGGATCATGCCATTCAAAAGCAAAATATTCTTGACTTTTAGGGGCTAGGGGCAGGCTGAAGAAGGCATCCTTGAGATCAAGGACTGTCTACCACTGTTTTTCAGGTGACAGGGAGCTCAGGAGAGTGTATGGGTTAGGAACTGTGGGATGTATATCCATTACCCGTTTATTGACTTCCCTGAGGTCTTGTACTGGCCTGTAGTCATTAGTGCCAGGCTTTTTGACTGGGAGTAAGGGAGTGTTCCAGCAGACTGGCAGACCCTCAAGATGCCCAGATTTAGAAGACGGTGGATGTGGGGTCTGATTCCCTCCTTGGCTTGTTGAGGCATAGGGTACTGTCTGACTGCAACGGGGTCAGCCCCAGGCTTGAGTTCAACAAACACCAGTGGGCGATGGCTTGCTAACCCTAGACCTCCTGTCTAGGCCCAAGCTTGGGGGTATCTTTGGAGCCATTTGTCAATGTGAGCATCAGGGGTTAGGGGCTTTTCATATAGGCGATATTCATCTGTCAATTGGAGGGAAAGAACCTGGATAGGCTTCCCGTCTGAATTTAAGAGTTGTGCTCCTTGTGGGCCAAAATGAATTTGGGACCCCGTTTTTGACAAAAGGTCTCTCCCTAGCAAGGGGTAAGGACAATCAGGAATTACCATAAAAGAGTGGGTTACCCGGCCCACGCCTAGATCCACTGATCTTCGGGTAGTCCATGAATACTGTTTGGTCCCAGTGGCACCTTGGACCCAAGACCGCTTACTTGAGACGGGTCCATTGGCCTCTAGTAATACTGAGTGTTGAGCTCCAGTGTCCACCAAGAAATTAGTTGGTTTCCCCTCCACCTTAAGAGTTACCCTGGGTTCGGGGAGGGGCTCTGAACCCCGTCCCCATTAATCACTGTCTTCTCCTGGGAACAACACCTTAGGTTTGTTTTTTCTTTTAGAACAGTTTTTGAACCAGTGTCCCTCTTCTTTGCAAAAGGTGCACCGGTTCCTTCCAGTTGGGCAATCTCTTAGTCGGTGTCCTTTCTCCTTGCAAAAAGGACACGTCTCCCTATTTGGTCCCTTTCTTTGTTCTTCTTTTTCTACAATCTCTATTAATTGGAGGCGGCGGTCTCCTGGGTCTGCTGTCATGGCCAGCAACACCCTAGCTAGATCTCTATTTTGTCTTTTCTCTGCTTTTACTTGTTTTTCCTCTACACTGTCCCTATTATTGTACACTTTTTCTGCTATTTCTATTAAGTCTTGGAGAGTCTTTTCTCCGAGACGTTCAACTTTTTGTAGTTTTCTCTTAATATCTGGTGCTGCCTGATTGATGAAAGCCATGGCCACGGTTGACTTATGGTCTGCATGCTCTGGATCGTACAGGGTGAACTGTCTAAAGGCTTCCATCACCCATTCCAGAAAAGCAGCTGGGCTTTCATCTGCTTCCTGCCTTAAATCATATACCCTAGTCAAATTAGTGGGCCTTCTAGCGGCCGCCTTGAGACCTGCCAATAGAGCCTGGCGGTAGACTTTGAGGCGCTCCTCACCTTCTCCTGTGTTATAATCCCAATTGGGACGGACGAGAGGAAATCCGGCATCGACGTCAGCGGGGTTCATGGTGGGGACCCCTGTCGGGCCAGGAACGAGTTTCCGTGCTTCCAACAGGATTCTTCCGTGCTTCCAACAGGATTCGTTCTCGCTCCTCAGTTGTAAACAGAACCTGTAACAATTGCTGACAATCATCCCAAGTGGGTTGGTGAGTAAAGAGTACAGTGTCTAGTAACCCAATAAGCCCCTTAGGGTTTTCTGAGAAGGGGGGGGTTTGAGATTTCCAATTGTAAAGATCAGAGGAGGCAAAGGGCCAATAGTGGTGGGGCTGATTTCCTGTTTCATCTATTGGCCCTATAGCCCGCAAGGGGAGCATTGTGGAGTCTGCTTCTGGGTGAGCTCCCCTTCTGCTGCGGGTTCCGTGGGCTGGCCCTTCCTCAGATGGGGGGGCGGGAGGAGGCAGTAAGGATTCAGGCGGTAAGGGTAATGGGAGTTCAGGCATAGGGGCAGGAGGGGTTGGAGGGAGTCTATAAAGAGGAGGGAAGATGAGTTCTTCATCTGTTCCTCCTTGCAAGACCGGATAGAGGGGGCCTGAGGGCGACTCCAGGGGCATGGGTGAGGCCGAAGTCCGTCCTGGCTCCTGTTTCCGTCTGAAGGTACTCTCTTCCGGATTCTGTCACCAGGACCTGAGAAGAGACTAGGGAAACTGGGGGAAGGAGAAAAGGCTTTACCCATATAGGTGGATCAGCAACTAAACTTTTCCAGGTAACAATATATGGGACTTGGTTGGGATGGCCTCCTGCACACTGGAAAACTCTTTCTTCCACCGCTTCTATGATTGGAAGGTGGATAGTGCCCTCAGGAGGCCATCCTACCTCGAAAGCAGGCCATTCAGATGTACAGAGCTTAGTCATTTTTCCCTTTTTGACATCCACTGACAGATTGTGAGCTCGAATCCTAACTTCCTTGAAGTGAAGCAGGACTAAATCCAAAGGTTTTGAAGCAGACTGCCCCATGATGTTAGTCCAAACAAGATAAAGTATCGCAGAGAACAAAATTAAGACACAGAATACAGGAATTAGTCCTCCTCGCCAACGGAGGAGAGAACGAAAGTGAGATGATGGTCTTTGCGCGCTTTCCAAAGAGAAAGAAGAGTATGTGGGGTGGAGCCCCCAAAGTCCCATGAAAGACAGGGAAAAACAGATGGGGGGGGGGCTTTGACCCCTTTCCCTAAACGTCCTCGTCAAAGTCACAACAAAAAATGATGCTTAGACAAACAGCACAGACACAAGCATTCAAACCAGTGATCGAGAAGAAGACGAATGTACGACCGAAAAAAAAAAAAATTTAACACGAATGGGATCCCGCTGCTGCCACCAGCAGGACCCCTGCCCGAATTCCAGCTACACTGCCGCGGAAACCCCTGTCCGCGGGGGCGCTCTACCTGAATTCCAGCTACACCGCCACGGAAACCCCTGTCCGCAGTCTCTCCTTCCTGTGGGTCCAAGACGTCTCTCGGATCCCACGGCCTCGAGCTTTCACGGCGCGTCCGCTCCTCTGAGGCCCTTAGAGACCAAGCACCGAACAGACAAACTGCAGTCATACAAAAACACTTAGACATAAGAGAACAAGGAAACAAGTGCACTCGCCAGCCGACGATCAGGCCCAGCGTTTCGGGGTCCCAGGGAGGCTCTGGGGGGAGGATTCCCTTCCGAAGGGAATTCCCGGCCAACGCACCAAATGTTATACCCAGATCGCAGTATCCTCACCAACCAGAGACCACCAGGGAGACCTAGTCACGCATGCAAAGGCAAAGGGCTTTATTACGGGCTCGAGCTCGGGCTCACAGACTTCACCAGTGCCGTGGATCCATGCTGAGAGCCCAGAACAAAGACAGAGTGGGGTTTTTATAAGGTTTGTGACAGGGGAGTTACAGAAGTTGTGACGTGAGAACAGTGATCCAATCGTAATTATACAGCATTGTTGACAGCGGGTTTAACCATACATGTTATCCAGAGTATCTGTTATTTTTGGCGGGATCCAAATACAACATTTAGAGTAGTCTTAAATTCAACCAACCATAGACTAATGGTTAACTTTTACCTTAGGCTGCTAAGATTTATCTATAGTTGCTGGCCTTTCTTGATTGGGCGTTGCCAAGGTAGTGCGGTGGAGTGAAGTGGTGGGCAGTTTCTTTGGCCTTGGGCAGTGTGTAGCTGCCTGATAGTTCCAGGGAGACTGAAACTTAGGCCTTCTAGTTTAGAGGAGAAACTTAAGCCTGTCATGGAGTTTGTATGGTTTTAGACTTGTGTCCTTACACTAGCTCAGAGCCTGGAGCCTGTTTCAGATTCTGTATCTCCCTCTCTCTGACGCTCCCCTGTTCACGCTGTCTCTCTCAGAAATAAATAAAAACATTTAAAAATTTTTTAAATAAATAAATAAAGGAATAATGGTGGAAAACTTCCTGAACCTGGGGAGAGAAATGGACATCTAGATCTATGAGGCCAAAAGGATTCCAAATATGTTGACCCTGAATAGATTTAACAATGGGACATACTATATTTAAATTGTCAAAAGTCAAATAAAAGAATTTTAAGAGCAGCAAGAGAAAAGGGAGGTGACATATAAGGAAACCCCATAAGACTGTAGGTGGGTTTCTCAACAGAAACTTTTCAGGAAGAGAATGGGATGACATATTCAAAATATTGAAAGAAAATAATTGTTAATCAAGAATTATCTAACCAGGAGAGCCTGGGTGGCTCAGTTGGTTGAACACCAGACTTCAGCTCAGGTCATGATCTGACAGTTCGTGAATTCAAGCCCCACATCAGGTTCTGCACTGACAGCTTACAGCCTGGAGCCTACTTTGGATTCTGTGTCTTCCTCTCTCTCTGCCCTGCTTGTTCTCTCTGTCTCTGTCTCTGTCTCTATCTCTCTCCCTCTCCCTCTCTTTCTCTCTCTCTCAAAAATAAATTAAAACATTAAAAAAAAAGCATTCTCTAAACAGTAAAGCTGTCCTTGAGAAATTAAGTAGGGATAAAGGCTTTCCTAAACAAACAAAAGCTAAAAAAATTCATTACCACCAGACCTGCTCTACAAGAAATGCAAAAGGGAGTTCCTTGAATGGAAGTAAAAGAACACTAATTAACATCATAAAAACACAAAAAGGTAGCATAAATCTCACGGGCAATGGTAAATACAAAGTATAGTTAGATTTTATAATACGGTAATACTAGTACAGAACTCACAATTCTAGGTTGTTGTTTTTTTTTAATGTTTTATTTATTTCTGGGAGAGAGAGAGAGAGAGAGAAAGCGTGAGCTGGGGAGGGTCAGAGAGAGAAGGAGACACAGAATCTGAATCAGGCTCCAGGCTCTGAGCTAGCTGTCAGCACAGAGCCCAACGCAGGGGCTCTAAACCCATGAACCGTGTGATCATGACCTGAGCCAGAGTGGGACACTTAATGGACTGAGCCACCCAGGCGCCCCACAATTCTAGTTTAAAAGTTAAAAAAATGGGGCGCCTGGGTGACTCAGTGAGTTAAGTGTGTGACTTTGGTTTCAGCTCAGGTCATAATTTCATGGTTCACGAGTTCAAGCCCCACAACAGGCTCCATGCTGATGATGGAGCCTGCTTGGGATTCTCTCTGTCTCACTCTCTCTGTCTCTGTGTCTCTCTCTGTTTCTCTTTCTCTCAAAAATAAATAAAAATTTTAAAAAATAAAAGTTAAAAAAATGAACTTAGAAAAAAACATAAATACAATAATCTATTCTTAATTACACAATATAAAAGATGTAAACTGTCATAGCAATAACTTAAAATATAAGTGGGATAAGAAGTGTTAAGTAGATAAATTCTATTAAAGTTAACTTGTTACATGGTGCAGCCCCTCTGGAAAACAGTGTGGAGGTTCCTCAGGAAACTAACAATAGAACTCTCCTATGACCCAGCAATAGCACTGCTAGGAATTTACCCAAGAGATACAGAAATGCTGAGGCATAGGAGCACATGTACCCCAATGTTCATAGCAGCACTCTCCACAATAGCTAAAACATGGAAAGAGCCTAAGTGTCCATCAACAGATGAATGGATCAAGAAGATGTGGTTTATCTATACGATGGAATACTACATGGCAATGAGAAACAATGAAATCTGGCCATGTGTAGCAACATGGATGGACCTTGAGGGTGTTATGCTGAGCGAAACAAGTCAGGCAAAGAAGGACAAATATCATATGTTTGCACGTATAGGAGGATTAGGAGGAACTTAACTGAGGAACAAGGGGGAGAACAAGGGGGGAAATGGTGGGGGAAAGGGAGAGAGGCAAACCATGAGAGACTCTTGAATGCTGACAAAAACTGAGGACTGATGGATGGGGGGGAGGGACGGGCATGGAGGAGGACACGTGTGGGGATGAGCACTGGGTGTTATGTGGAAACTAACTTGACAATAAACTATTAAAAAAAATAAAAAATAAAAAGACTCTAACTTAGAAAAAAAAATAAAGTTAAGTTGTTACAAATTTTAAAATATGTGTTATAAGTTTAAGATATTTTATGTACTAAGCTTCAGAGCACCCACAAGGGAAAATCTTGTAGTAATTACACAAAAGAACACAATAAAAGTCAGAGCATACTGATACCAAAAGACTTCAAAACACAAAAACAAGAAAGCATGATAAGGAACAAAGAACAATGGATTTGCAAAACAACTGGAAAATAACAAAATGGCAATAAGTCCTTACCTATCAATAATTACTTTAAACAAACAGATTGAATCTCTACTCAAAAGACATAGAATGGCTAAATGGATTTAAATAAACAACAAGAAAAGATCCAACAATGTGCTGCCTACAAGAGACTCACTTTAGCCTTAAAGATACATATAGACTTAGAATGGAGTTATGGAAAAAGCCATTTTAACCAAATGATAACCAAAAAAAGCAGGGGTAGCTATATTTATATCAGAAACAGTATACTTTACACTACAAATGGTAAAGAGACAGAGAAGGTCATTACATAATAATGGAGGTTAATACATCAAAAGATACAATTGTAAACATTCATATGCCCAACATCAGAGCATCTAAATATATATAGCAAAAACTAACAGAGTAAAAGGAGAAATAAACAGTAATACAATAATAGTTGAGGACTTTAATATCCCACTCTCTACAATGGATAGGCCATCCAGTCAGAGAATCAATAAGGAAACAGTGTATTTGAACAATGCTACTGACCAAGTGGGATTAACAAACACACATACAGAACATTTTATCCAACAACAGAAGAATACATATTCTTCTCAAGCACACATAGAACATTTTTTAGGAATGAGGATATGTTAGGCCACAAAATAAGTCAGCAAATTCAAATAGACTGAAATCATACCAATTATCTTCTCTGACCATAATGACATGAAAACAGAAATCAATAAGAAGAAAATTGGAAAATTCACAAACACATGAAAATTAAACAACACTCTCTTGAACAACAAATGAAT